AAGGCTCCACAGGATTCATCCCTTAACCTGCAAAGCTTGTTTCTAATTGAGTTTGTGGGTTTCACTGTGATACTGTGTGATGCATCTAATAAACAAACCAATATGGAAAAATGAATTATCGGTACAACTAAATCAAAAAATGAAGTAATGTTCCCAGTAGGATAGTTTACAATAAAATATGTAATTACTACATAAATGCGCTTTAATTTATATGTAATCCTTAATTGCGTCGGTGGCATAGCGCTTAGGACGCCTGCCGACCATGCACATGGTCCGGGGTTCGATCCTCGGCTGATGCACTCCTTTACCTCGCTAAGCCAGTAAAAAGACCGGCAAAAGGGGGAATTTCGGACATGAGGCTAGCAACCCCATCCCATAAAAAATTAATAAAACACCACTGCTACCGAAACTTCAAAGCTCTGCCTTGGAGCTCCCTATGTTACACTGAAAATATAAAACGAATAAAAAAATGAAATGTCACATTGTACAACCAGATAAACAAATCCAGGAGAATGATTAACCTGTCCAAAACCAGCCAGTGTTCATCAAATACAACCATAAATATTGTATAAAAATGTCAAATCCTGTAGTCATATAAAAATGACATTTATGCACATGAATCTATGCTTAAAATGGAAAGATGAATTTGACATTTCCAAGGTGAGTATTTTTTTAAAAATTTGCTTAATAATAATGTTAATAATAACTTCAACGATACACATCTTCCTAGAATTCAACCGTTTGCCCTAATAATCTTTTAATACAGTTATGAGCAAGTGTTTAGACTAAGGGGATATGTCAGTATGGCTATGTCAGTTGCCTGTACCAAATAGGTTCATATATCCTACTAACTAACTAAATAACTAAATAACTAGCTAACTAAATAACTAACTAACAAACTAGCTGACTAAATAACCAACTGACTAACCGAACAAACGACTAACTAACTAACCAACGTGCAAGCATTGGTTTTGTAGGGATTTTTGTTTGATTGCATGGAAGATTTCATCATGAGCTGACATCAGTTAGAGAACCACTGGAAATCCTGAGATTACTAAACAGCTGTTTCGTCCTAGTTTGGGACTCTTCATCAGCACGCATCAACTGGGATTCGAACCCAGGGCCTTCTGGTTACAAGGCGAGCTCGTATACCATTGAGCCA